ATGGCTGGTGCTACAGGAAGCAAACCTGCTCGGGTAACACTCTCCATGAGACCCACCAATCGGACCAGAGCGTCCTGAAGAACTGGGGTAGCAATAAACCCCTCTGGGACCTGAGCTGGGCCCACCGGAACTGCTGGGGCTGGGGCCGGAACCCCCTCGTCGAAGTCAACCTGAGGCTCCGCCACTGGTGCTGCTCCTCGGGGCTGAGCTCTGCCCCTACCTCGGCCTCTAGCACGGCCTCGGCCTCGTCCTCTGCCCCTAGTGGGAGCTGCCTAGGGCTCGGACTGCTGATCAGAAGATGAGGAAGCGCGTGTTCTCTCCATCTGCGAAAGAACAGAGTAGAAATTCAATTAGCGTTGAGAGACCAAACCGCACGACAAGAAAGAACAAATGTGAAACTTTTTCTAACTCAGTAGCCTCTGGGGGATAAATACAGACGTCTCCGTACCGATCCCTCGGACTCTACTAAGCTTGTCCGTGAGTTGTGAGACCTATGTAACCTACAGCTCTGATACCAACTTGTTACGACCCGGATTCCCCACCCTCGGAGGTCGTGATGGCGCCTACTCATGGAAGCTAGGCAAGCCGAGAACCTTAGCAAACATTAACCTATTTCGTTTTATACATGATTAAACAACTAAATTATCAATGAATAAGCAGTTAAAAGATAACGAAAAGTAAAATTTAGCGGAAGTCTGAACTAAATATAGAAACAACGTCTAGAAAGCCAATACAAGTCTCTACCCAGCACCTGGTGTCACAACAATACACGGACTGTCTAGGATTACTACAAATAAGAGTTTGAAATAAAGGACATAGTCTGTCTCGAATACAAATGTCAACAGAACATGAAAACTAAAAGAAGAGACGCCGGGCCTGCGGACGCTAGCAAGGCTACCTCAGAGTCTCATGGACTGAAGGTCGGCTCCCTAACTACTACTGCGCACCGTAAGCTGCTACAACACCTGGATCTGTGCAAAAGAGCACAGAGTGTAGCATCAGCACAACCGACCCCATGTGCTGGTAAGTGCCTAGCCTAACCCCGGCGAAGTAGTGACGAGGCTAGACAGGACTACCACATAAACCTGTGCAGTTATATATACATATTCAACGGAATCGAAATACAGAGACAAGTAATTGATATGGGAGGGGGAGCATGCTATGGGGGAAATAACAATTTCAAGTAAAAGTCGTCCAGTAACGAAGGAAACAACACAACTCAGACATTAATAAAGAAACAGAAAGCAACAAGTGCACGGCATCACCCTTCGTGCTTTTACTCTCATCCTCACCAAGCAATGATATAATAAAGTGTGCATGGCATCACCCTTCGTGCTTTTACTGTCTTTCCTCACATATAATCGATAGAATCGGCACGGAATGGTACATCGTACGGCACGGCATCACTCTTCGTGCTTTACTCTCTTTCCTCACCATAAGCAAACAATGCACGGCATCACCCTTCGTGATTTACACTCTTTCCTCACAACAAACAAACAATGCACGGCATCACCCTTCGTGCTTTAACACTCTTCCTCACCCAAACAGCAATCACAAACAAGGGGCAAGGGGATAAACAAAATAATAAAAGAAATCCCGGCAAGGGAACATAATTGAACAATTAAATCCCGGCAAGGGTACAACATCAATAATCTCAACATCCCGGCAAGGGAAAACAATCAATAAACAACAATATCCCGGCAAGGGAACAATTTAAATACTCTTTCTCTTCCTTTCACTTTTAATTCACATCTCACTTTACCACTTCAGCCAATGCTCCAAAGGGGTTCAACCATTTCATATACGTTCACAATTGAAATATAACTTGAGCCAATGCTCCAAAAGGGTTCAACCATTTCATATACGTTCACAATTGAAATATAACTTGAGCCAATGCTCCAAAGGGGTTCAACCATTTCATATACGTTCACAATTGAAATATAGCTTGAGCCAATGCTCCAAAGGGGTTCAACCATTTCATATACGTTCAAAATTGAAATATAACTTGAGCCAATGCTCCAAAGGGGTTCATAGGTCACAATTTCCTTTCACAAGCTTTTCGCAACAATTAGGAATCATCACCAAGGCAAGAGAAATACAACGAAATCAAGATATTCACAATTTAAAGAATCACGGTCATGCTAGACACCAACGTATAGATACTCGTCACCATGCCTATACGTCGTACTCAACAAGAAGCAATTAGCAAATAAAACTCAACTCCTAGTCCCTCAAGCTAGGGTTAGACCAAACACTTACCTCAATGCCTTGCACACAACTTAAGCCTCAAGTATAGCTTTACCCCGCGATTCCATCGCCAATTCGCTCGTATCTAATCATAAATTACTTAATTACATTAATAAACACTAAATGAATCAACTCCAATGCATGAAAATGAGTTTTCCCAAGTTTTACCCAAAAAGTCAAAAATCGCCCCCGGGCCCACGTGGTCAAAACCCGAGGTTTGAACCAAAACCCGATTACCCATTCCCCCACAAACTCAAATATGTAATTTGTTTGGAAATCGGACCTCAAATTGAGGTCCAAATCCCCAATTTTTGAAAAACCTAGGTTCTACCCAAAATACCCAATTTCCCCCATGAAAATCTTGATTTTAGGTTGAAATCGTGTTAAAAGATGTAAATGATTGAAAGAAATGAGTAAAAACTAACTTACAATTGATTTGGAAGAAGGTTTGTTCTTGAGAAATCGCCCAAAGGAGTTGTGTTTTGAAAATGGTGTAAAAATGACTTAAAAATCGACTAAGTATAGAAAATGTAGGTTGCAGATATGGGAATTGCGAACAGGAGTTCGCAATTGCGAACCCCGACCTGACATGGGAATTGCGAAGTTTTGTTCGCATTTGCGAACCCCTTCCTAATTTCCCAACCTCGCATTTGCGATCCCAGAAGTCGCATTTGCGACCGGCCTTCACATTTGCGAACCCAGTGGTCGCATTTGCGATCAGGCCTGCCCAGGTCTCCACTTCGCAATTGCGATGCAAGGCTCGCATTTGCGAGATTGGCTTCGCAATTGCGAAGCCTGCAGATCAGAAATGTAACAGCTATCTTTCAAAATCCAAAAATGCACTCGTGGCCTATCCAAAACTCACCCGAGCCCTCAGGACTCCAAACCAAATATACACACAACCTCAAAAATATCCTACGGACTTATTCGTGCGATCAAATCGCCAAAATAACATCATAAACTTCGAATTAAACCTCAAAATCCATTAATTCTTTCAAACTTCATAAAACATCAAATTTTTCAATTTAAGTCCGAATCACGTCAAACGACGTCCGTTTTCAACCAAATTTCACAAGAAGGACTTAAAACATATATAAGACCTGTACCGGGCGCCGGAACCAAAATACGGGCCCGATACCATCGCTTTCTAATCAAATTTCATTTCCAATTTCCTTAAACAATTTCAGAAAACAATTTTACAAAAAATTTCATTTCTCGGGCGTGAGACCTCGGAATTTGATTCCGGGCATACGCCCAAGTCCCATATTTTCCTTCGGACCCTCCGGGACTGTCAAATCACGGGTCCGGGTCCGTTTACCCAAGATGTTGACCAAGGTCAAATTTATTCATTTTAACATCAAAACTTAGCATTTTTCATAGAATTTCATATTTAAGCTTTCCGGCTACGCGCCCGGATTGCGCACGCAAATCGAGGCGACTCTAAATGAAGTTTTCAAGGCCTCGGAGTCATAGAATTCATTTAAAACAGGACGACCCACACACGGGATAGCCAGTTTTCAGACTGGTAATTAATGAAAAAATAGCCATTATTTTGCTGAAACACGAAAAGTTTCAGCATAATATGATGGATTATGGAGCTCATGCGTATAAACTTCCAGCATATTATGTTAGAACTCCAGCACACGGAAAGTTCCAGCATAATATGTTGGATTATGGAGCTCCTACGTATAAACTTCCAGCATATTATGTTGAAACTCCAACATATTATTAAATTCCAGCACATTATGCTGGAATCTCATATGTAAAAAATTCGAACTGTAACATATTATGCTGGATTTTTCGGATTTTGAGGATGTTTTTGTTTAAATTTTATTTTTACATGAAAAAATGGCTGGATTTTGATAACTTTTAAAACTGCGCCTATTTTTCAATTATCAGACGTAAATCTGGTTACTTTTTATTTTTTCCCAGATCAGCAGGCAAGTAAAGCAGGAGAAGAAATATTAATTACTTTGGCTAAGTAAGTCAAAGTTGCTGTAATTATTTGTAAAAGGTAAAACACCACTAATTCAGTCTTACGAATGTTTGCACTGTTTTTCTGGAAATATCAACCTTCTACTTTTTGTAGGATGATGCAAAGGTACGCTTATCAGCCAAGTGAGTCCACTAACTTGTTTAGTAAGGGCGGAGATAAAATATCGGTACGAGTTCGGTTGAACTTAGTAGCTTTAAAATAAAATCTCTATTTGTTTTAAGAAATACATTAATTATGTATAAATTATTAACTCGACAACTTAAAAATACTAAAATCCCGAACTTATAAGCTCCAAATTCTGGTTTCAACTTGATGTTTAGCAGTGGTGGAGCCCCATTCAACCCAGGGGTGTCGATTGACACCCCTTCGCCAGAACATTATATTGTATTGCTTGATATTTTTATCTATCTTATGTATATTTACTATACGTTGACTCCCCTAAATTTTTCGCTGAATTTCTTTTTTTTATATTTTGATACCCCTTAATGAAAATTCTGGCTCCGTCATTGCTGTTTAGGCTTCCAAAATGCAACACAAAGAAATCAAAATGGGAAGAGAGAGGAAGTATTTAAAAATTAGCACTGTCTTTCCCTTAAACAAATAGATGACATGTGTTTCTGTACACATTCACATGTTGTGTTCTCATTGTCTGGCTAGATAGTAAATACTACTTGTTAAAGAAGTGCAATGGACAACTCAAATGGATCAAAAAATATTTGAAACTGTTAAATTCAGTTTTATTAAAGTCTTGAGCATAATTGACAACTCATATTACTTCTCAGGACTGCATCTATAAATAATTTGACAACTGTATCCCAAAGTCATGACCTTTGTTCTATAAGATTTGTTCAGCCACATTACAGGGCTGGCAGTGAAATTTTTTGGCGAAGATGAGATTTCGAGGCAATGACAGCCCCGCCAAGGGCTGTCATTTACCACGAATGTTAGTGACAATATTGGCCACATTAACTGTTGCTAATGTTGTTTCAGCGGATCCTTATGTATATTCTTCTCCTTCATTGCCTTCACTTCCACTATCATATGCCTATAAATCACCACCTCTTCCATCGCCATCTCTACTTCCACCATATGTGTATGCATCTCTGCCTCCGCCTCTGTCTCCGCCGCCGCCTTCTTCACTTCCAGCACCCTATGGTCCACGTCATCACTTGGTGGTTAAGGTTGTTGGAAAAGTCTACTGTATAAGATGCTACAATTGGAAATGCCCAAAAATGTCTCACGGCAAGAAACACCTCAAAGGTACAATAATCCTGATTCCACACCCTCTATTTCTTCTATTTTCTGTTTATATTTCATCATTTATTCACTTAACTAAATTTTCTTTTTGATGGGAATATGTATTTCGTCGTCTATTTTCTACGTTAATTCTTGGAAGATTATTTGTTAGATGTGTCTTCTTGATATTTGGATCTTAGGATCCATCATTTTCTGTGTTTTGGAGTAACATTTGTCATTTTGTAATGAACATTGGTAAAACTTTTGTATAAAGTTCTTCTATATAAAGTGAACAAGAAATGATTAAGAAAGAAAATGATAAGCAAGTACTTCCTCCCTCCGTTTACTTTTACTTGTACACTATACTAAAAATATATTTTTACTTTTACTTGTCCATTTTAGCAAAAATCAAGATAAAGACAAAAAAATACCTATTCTACCCTTATTATTAAAACATATATTTCGCCTTATATATACAGAACAATTTTTTTTGGGAAGCGGGTTCAGGTGAACCCCCGCCTGCCCCCTAAATCCGCCCCTGGTTACGTTAGCGGATTCAGAATTTTAAGCTTATGGGTTCCTACACGATCTCAAACTAATATACAATAATAATTGGACCAAGGAACTGAGTTTCAAGCTAAATATTCTTATAAAATTAATAAATTTTTAATACAAAAACAGAATCTAGGCAAAAGTTACTAGGTTTACGTGAACCCGTACCTATTGCCCTAGATCCGCCTCTGGTTACGTGCAACTAGTTCTATAGTATGTTGAATAGGAAAATACATGTATATAATATCTGTTAACTATTCAATTATTTTAATGTTGATTAAAGTTTGTTCACATGGATTAGGTGCTGTTGTTCAAGTGACTTGCAATGTTGGTGACAAGAAAATTGTGAATTTTGGTAACACTAAGATCAATGGCAAATTTAGCATTACTCTCAAAGGATTTGATTATCACAAATATGGAGCAAAGGCTTGCAAAGTTAAACTTCAAAAGGCACCAAAAGATTCAAAATGTAACATTCCAACAAATCTTGATTGGGGAATTAAGGGTGCTAATCTCAAAGTGAAATCAAAGAATAATTATGAAGTTGTACTCTATGCAAAATCATTTGCTTATGCTTCTAAGACATTTTTTAGGGTATGCAAAAAGCCCAAGCCTACACTTGCGCGCGATACCACTTCAAATCTTCTCCAAACGAATCACCGACTTATGTTTATAAGTCACCTCCGCCTTCATCACCAACATATGTTTACAAGTCACCTTCTCCTCCAGCCTCGATATACGTTAACAAATGCCATCACCACCTTCTTACAAAACTCGGCCACCACCAACTAAGTCTGAATCGTCTCTTTATTATTATTAGTCTCCACCATCACTAACACCTGCACCTATATTGTATTATAAGTCATCTTCTCCTCCAAGCGCGACATACGTTAACAAATTCCATCTTATTACAAAAGTCGGTCACCACTAACTAAGTCTCATCCGTTTCCTTATTATTACAAGTCTCCACATCCGCCTTCACCAAAACCTGCACCTATATAGTATTATAAATCATCTCCTCCAATATATTACTAAGTTTTTCAAGGAGCTCAGCCACCATCCACAAAGTCAACAGAGTAAGTAATTTTTTTGAATTTTGAATTCTTCTTTATAAACTCTGTGTTGTTCTTATCATTGATCTAAGATTCAATTATTCAATTTCTTTGTCCCGTTTTCCAGATTTCACTTTAAAGAACAAAATAAGTGGTGATTTCAAGAAGGGGAGATTCGAATATCAACTGTACATAGCACTAAGTAATTTATCAAATGAGTTCTTCAATTTTGCTTACTGAAAAATTGATCAGTTGTATCGTAATTTATTGTTGTAGGAATATACTGGGTATGTTGTTGTCGTCGTAATTTATTATTGTATAAAGGATGTCCTCTTTTTTTGATTCATTTTTCCTATTAGCTATTATGAGTTGTTTCATTGTACCCTTTTTGTGCTATGGCACCAAATTAATAAAAAGATTATCTTTTTGTTCTATTCGTTGTTTATGTATATATACATGTTTCCAACAGATACATGTGCTAATTTTCAATATTATCACTGTCTTACTATTTTGGTTTCAATATTATACAGCAATATTACAACATTAAAAACTTCTTTAAAAGAGATGGGACAGTATAGAAGCAAAGTCAACTGAAGCAAAATGAACTTATGTTCGCTTGTAATACTGTGTATTATTTGGGTCAACCTGAAAATCCAAACCGATCCGTGTTATTCGGATTTGTTTGGATTGGATTTTAGCTCTTTGGATTGGATTTCGAATTTTTAATTTAATTATTTTGCATATCGGATCGGATACAATTTGGCTCAATTTACATCCAAAACTATCCGAAACCCGAAATTTGTATTTTACGTATAAAAGTGAGGGGTGCTCTTTTAAAAATTCTAAAATTTCTTTGTTATTTCTCTTACTATTTTTGCCTTTCCTTTCCTTTCAATATTAAAAGTAAAAGATATTGAAATGAATGAGTTTAGCTACTGAAAATGGTAGGAGATAGCATATTAAAATTATTTATTTTAGCATCTTAATAAGGCGTACAATCCGAACCGAAGTTCGAAGTATTTATCTGATCCAAACATCAAAATCCGATCCGACCAGAGTTTAATTTGGTTCGGATTCGGATTGCAATTTACAAATCTGAAATTATAATTCGAAAGGTGCTAAATCCGATCCGATCCATAAACAGGCCTATTGACAACCCATTTTCATTAAAGAATTTAAGTTTCATATTCTAACCGGTTACACTGTACTGATTTAAGAAATATCTACACAATCGGTATATAACATAATTCACTCCAAGAATGGCTACAATATTTGGAAGAATTTTTTTAATACGCAGCAATAATCTGCAAGTATGTAACTTAGAAAATGTGGAAAACCTGAAACACGGATTTGTACTTTCTGAATTATTAGTAGTATGCATACCAAATTATAACACATAAGCTTATTGTATAGGTCAAAATCTACCTTAGAATATTTATGTAACGATCCGATCGGTCGTTTTGAGCTTTAGTGCGTCGTTCAGTAGTTTGAGGCCATGAGCAACTTCACTTCAGGTATTATGACTTGTACGCATGGTCGGAATTGAATTCCGGAAAGTTCGGAGTTGATTTGGAGAGAGAATTCTCATTTCGGAAGCTTTAAGTTGAAAGAATTGACTAAGATTGGATTTTTGGGTAAACGACCTCGGAATCGGGATTCGAAGGTTCCGGCAGGTTCGTATGGTGACTTCGGACTTGGGCGTATGTCCGGATCGGTTTTTGGAAGACCCGGGAACGTATCGGCACCTATTGTGGAAGTTAGCATTTTTGGAAGAATTTCATGAGTTTGGGTTGAAGTGCATTCCAGTGTTATCGATGTCCGTTTGTGATTTCGAGTCTGGGAATAGCTCCGTATGGTGATTCTGGTGTTGGGAGCGCGAGAAGTGAATTCAGAGGTTCGTGGGTCATTTTGGAGTTATTTGGCTAAAGTTGGAAATTTGAAGGTTTTTGAGAAGCTTGACCGGAAGTGGACTTTTTGATATCGGGGTCGGATTCCGATTCTGGAAGTTGGATTAGGTGCGTAATGTCGAATATGACTTATGTGCAAAATTTAAGGTTAATCGAACGTGATTTGATAGGTTTAAACATCGAAAGTAGAAGTTGGAATTTCTCAAGTTCATCAAGTTTGAATTGGGGTGTTGTAGACATGTGATTTTTGACCTTCCCCAAGGTTTTATATATTTTAGCATGTAAATATTTAGTTTAGGCCTAGTATAGCCATTTCAACTAGTTTTGAACTCTTTTACTTTACTTTATCACAAAAAAATGAAAATTACAAAAAAGTAGTTTCGTTAAAGTTTTGTAGTCATACTATTTTACTAGGACTTTTATTTTTATATAATCTTGAAAAATACCAAAACATAGTTTCATGTCATAATATAATTGTTTTAGTTAATTAGGATTGATTTTACGTTTTTATGGTGTTACTTTAGAAAAGAAATTGATTTTTTTTTTTAAGGCAAATTGCAAGAATTGTAGAATTAAAGGGCCAATTTTATAGCCCAATACCCTTCAACTTGGCAAATCCATATCAAAGGCCCATTCTTCCCAACCCTTTAGCCCACTCTCCAATTAAATGCAAGATTTAATTATCGATTCCTCTCCAATTTCCTACCTTAATATAAAATACCCAATTATACAAACTTTACCTGGGCTAAGACCTAAACAAAAAATTCCCCCACCTCAGCCGCATCCCACACCAAGAACGAAGCTGCTGCCCCACTTTCTTGGTTTCCTTCTTCAATTTCAGCGAAAATTTTGAGTGTTTAATCCTTGAACCAGAAAATGCTTCACTATTTTAATGTAACCATCGTTTCTCTCCTTTAATTCCTCCAATCTGCCGCAACCTGCACAAGTAACAGAAACGAGAGGGAGAGGTCTTTATACCAACTGAAATTGAAAATAAAACAGAAAAAGAAAGAGGGGATCGATGGTTTTACATAAGTGAGGTTGAAAAGGGAGTACAAAATTAAGTCTTGGTTTTGGGAAGGGAACAGTAGAACAAATTGAAATTGAAGTAGCCCAGATCTAAGCCAAAAGGAGTTCGATCAGTGAAGCTTTCGTTTGAGTTCCGGTTTGTAATCTCGGTGTTTCGGTCCCAGGATTGTTGCTTTGTTTAGCCCGATTAATTTGCAATTTTCAGCTTTGTTCATCAATAAAAGGTCCATTTCTCTCATTTTGTTATTTGATTCATTATGTCAATCTCTTCTTAAATTTGATATGATAGAGTTTTCAGTGTTCTTCTTTGCTATCTTACAAAAATGAATGCGCCGTGATTATTCGAGTATGTCTATCGTGTTTGCCAAATGATAGCGTCGGATATTAAATTATCTATGTTAAAACTAGTTTCCTGTTAGTCTTTCTGATCTTATCTTGTTCAAATGTTATCATGATTTAGCATGTTATAATTTAGATGATATTTTAATGTAAGTTGATAGATTAATTGATGAAAAGCTAGATTTTGGTTAAATTTGAGTGAATTTAGTTTTGCTGGTTTGGACTTTCAGTTGGTTGTGGATTTTGGCTAATATGGTCATAGGATATTGATTTAAAGTGACCCCACTTGAATTGATTGTGTTTAAACCAGATCGAAAAGAAGAAGCTTGCTCTTCCGACCCAAAAGGCTTTTGCCGTGATATTACTTTCCCCTATTCGACGATTCACTCTTCCTGGACTTGCTTGACTCGTCCGAAAAAAGAGGGAAAGTGCTAAGACCGCTAATGCAGCTAGGGGAGTTTAAATAATTTCAAATTGCCAAGCCCTAACACAAAATAAACTAGTGAATAAGCTGGTCCGTCTTTCCTTAGCTAATTAGTTTCGTTTCTTCCACAAATAAATTTTATAACTTTGGATCTAATTCATGAATGCTTTACAATGCTTTAGGCTCGCTCTTAATTAATCAGACTATCGTAATTGTGTACACGTTCGTGTGACGTAATTACGATTTTTAAAAAACGAAATCGGAGTATGCGTTCGCGCAACTTCGACTAAACCTTCTTAATAATAATAGAGCGTTATTAATTGTGAACACGTTCGCGTGACATGATTTTTGATGCGCCAAACAAATGAGTACACGTACGCGTGACCTATTTTCAAGATAATTTCTTAATTAAAAAGGCAAATGCACTCAGGTTCTAAAATAAGTAATTAAACAATTTTAATACGCCAAGTATGATCAAAGCGACCGTGCTAGAACCACGGAACTCGGGAGTGCCTAACACCTTCTCCCGGGTTAACAGAATTCCTTACCCGGATTTCTATATTTCACAGACATTAAAACAGAGTCAAATCTCCTCGATTCAGGATTTTAAACCGGTGACTTGGGACACCATATATTATCCCAAGTGGCGACTCTGAATTTTAAATAAAATAATCCCATTTCGATTGTCACTTAAATTGGAAAAACTCCCTTATATCCCTATCCGGGGGTAGTAAAAAGGAGGTGTGAGAGGTATGATTTGTGGTTTAAGCGTTTTTGGATGTGATTTGAAGCCTCGAGCAAGTTTGTGTTATGTTTTTAGACTTGTGTGGGTGTTTGGTTTGGAGCCCTGAGGGCTCGGGTGAGATTCGAAGTAGCTTCGGAGTGATTTGTTAAGAAACGGGATTGCTGGTACTGGTATGACCGCATTTGCAGTGTTTTGGTCGCAAATGCGACCATCGCACTTGCGAGATAGAGCTCGCATTTGCGAGCCTGGGCTGCTGTGGGAAAAGTTCGCATTTGCGAACTAAGGGTCGCTTTTGCGAGGCTGTCACCTTCGCATTTGCGAAGAATCTGGTGGCAAATGCGACCTGGGCAGGGACGGCTTGGCTTCGAATTTGTCGCAAATGTGACCATCGAATTTGCGAGCCGGATGTCGCAAATGCGACATCTGCGACTGGAACCCAGGGCTTTTTATCCCGAGACTTAGCCCATTTCCTTCATTTCCCACTTGGTCTTAGGCGATTTTTGGAGCTTTTGGAAGAGGGTTTTCACCTAGCACTTTGAGGTAAGTAATTTCTACACAACATGAGTTAAATATATATACTATGGGTAGATTAACATGTAAAAATTTGGGAAAATTAAGAGTTTGGGTGAAAACCTAGGGTTTCGATAAAAATAAGATTTAACCACGAAATTTGTTATAGAATGGAGTAAAAATAATATACTCTTGATCATTAGGTTATGGGTAACAACTTTCTTCAAAAATTTCGGGAATCCGGGTGCGTGGGCCCGGGGATGAATTTTAGGAACCTTGCATTTAGGGTTGAGAAATTGGTTTAATAATTAGAATATGAATTTTTGAGCATGTATTGACTAGTTCTTACCCCATTTGAATAGTTTTGGATCGTTCGGCTCCAATTTGGAGGTTTGAGCGCGTTCTTGAATTGGGATAGGCTTCGGAGCGAGGCGAGACTCCTTTCTAACCTTGTAAGAGGGAATTGTCCCTATAGATGAA